GCGCCTCTGAGGCTGACGAGCATGTCAGTGACCATCTTCGAACCCTCGGCGTCAGCGTCTGCGCCAGTGAGTTCAGGACGTCGTATAGGACGGAGCTGTTTTGTATGTTCGTATTGATCAAATGTGACGTCACCGCCCCCATCCTCTGTGTGCCTCAAAGAACAATCGGTATATGTGTGCTTGTTGAGTTTACACTCACCTGGAGCATCCTCAACACACTTGACGCACCTGTCGATAGTGTCCTCAGTACCGGCCATGTTAATGTCATCAACATGTTTGGCTGTAAAAAGGTTAGAGCTTGTCTCGAAGTCCTCATCGCAGGACGTGGGTTTGAGACCAAACCTTCTCGTGGTCTCTCTGAGCTTCAGTTGGAAGACTCTTTGGTGCGTCATTGGCGCCGGTGCCTGGTCTGAGGCGCTCCAAGCAGCGCTTCGACTCATCGCAGTGCTCAAACCCTGGAAGGGTTCTACGCGCAGATGCTGAACCAGGCGGCAGGGCAAAGCACACCACGCGTTCCTTTTTCACCCGTTGCTTCCGCATGTCCCTGATGAGTGAGTCCTTCCAGGAAATCCATGCTTATGTCCAGGGAAGCAATGATCAATTGCTTCTTGCACGCTGCCGCGCTCGCGAGTAATATCCGACTCGGCCGCCGCGCCGTTCCTGAGAAGGTCTCCGCGCCGAAGGCTTCGAGGTGCATGAATCCGCGAAGTACCATGCGTAGTCCGATGGCACGCTCCATCTCGCCCTTCTCGTTTTTGACACATGTCAACTTATATGCGCATGATGCTTGACGCCTTTGATATTGCATCATGAAACACTCGTCGCCAAGCCATGTCTTGAGTTCAGCGCGCATGGCTTTAAACAGCTTGACTGGATTCGCCCGGGCGCCGGCTTTCGCGAGGAGCTCGCCCTCCTTGACGGCCGCAGCTCGCGCAGCTGCAGCGGCCACACGTACTCGCATAATTGCCACGCGGTCGAAGTCCAGTATCCTGCGCCGTTGCTCGGGTAGGACTACCTTTGACATGTCTGCAGTGATGCAGAGTTCTACATGTTGTCCGTGCTCGTCAGACTCCAAGCCATAACCGTCATCTTCGCCCGCGGAGCACAGCGGAACATGACATGTCTCCGCTGCGTCTATGTCACGCGGGTTAGCCCACGCAGGCAGGCGCCCCCGCTGCTCTTCAGCAACTGCGACCAGCACACTGCTGTCGGCGATCATCCGTGCGGGCGCAGTGCAGAGGTCGTAAATTGGATTGCCTCCAGTAGTTCTCTTTCCTCCTGCAGTC